CCCTGTTCCCCGCACGCGGCTCAGCACGAGCAATAGATGCTGGAGATCTTGTCACTGTCTTCGTCGAAGTTGTTGTAGTTCTTGGTCACTGCCACGTCGCTTCCCGTCGCGTCAACGGTGAGCAAGGCCGAGCCAGAGCAGTCTGCGGCATCATGGTACGTGATCTTGCACCCGGGAGAGGCGCCCTGCAAGCCCGAGGCAAAGTTGTCGCTGTAGACTCCACCTCTGAAAGCTGTCAGGTCGTCACATTCGCCATCGTCCAAGGCCCAGTTCATCCACGAACCCTCGTACACTGGGCTCGTCCACATCTGGTACCAGCACTTCTTGTCGAGTTTCTGAGTCTGTCGGCGACGGCGACGTCGACTGCCAACGGTGTCGCCGTCAGCGGCTTCGTCAGCTGTTTCGTCCTCAGGGGCTTCAGGGCTTCTGATTTCTAGCAGCAATTTCTAGGACATTATCCATATTGAACATGGGGAAGGGACCGCCGGCGGTCCTGCACGAGCTCTTGTCCTCCTTCTTGCCGGACCACGGGCTCGTTTTCTTCAACGTCCACCCCCCTGCCCTGCGGATCTGCGCCTCCATGACGGGTGCCATCGCGCGTGTGCTGCAACAGTGCAGGCGCACGTGCTGGCTTGTCGCCCCTGTCGCAGCTCTCTTCGGCTGCCAGGGTCACGCCAAGCAAGAAGGGCACCAAGGGCACCATGGCAAAAAGCGACTTCATCCCTTCTCAAGTCTGGGAGCGAAGCCGACCGGTTCTTTGAGAGGAAAGTTTTGTAACTTGAGAGAAGGAGCTGCAACACGCGAACCACGCAATTCGAGCCCGACACCTCAGCCCTTGCCCTGACACTTCACCTTGGCCTTCCGCTGCTTGTGTCACAGGGTCTCCTTCCGCTGGCTCTCGCAGCTGAGGCCAGGGCCATTGGTTGAGATGAAGAACATCTGAAATCCACTACCTGAGGGCATGGGGAGAGGGTGCCACACATGCCACAGGCCCAGACAAGCACGATCACTGAAGACCGCAGCAGCCAGTTCAGCAGCAGTTTTCGTCGCACGGCCCAAACATCAGCAGAGTATGCTCAATGACGAGTCCCGCCCCCCCCCCCCCCGCCCTTTCTCCGCGCAAATTGTTGGTCCAGTAAGGCGCGCAGGTGGAGAAGCGTCTGAGTAGGGGCACTCCAAGAGCCGACTCTCAGCTAGACACATTCATCCCCTGGAGCATGCGCGGGCATGGGAACGGAGGCCTAAACCCACAAACAGCACTGTGTGACACATGAAGCCTCTATTCGGGGATCAACCCTGTTTGAACAAAAAGAGTCAAAAAGAGTCACTAAACACCCGACAACCCTTAAATTTCAACGTCCCTCCATCAAGCCCTCCACCTCTCCACAGGCTTCAATGCCTACACTGAACCCGGCACTTCTCCACAGGCCATAGACTTCGACTTTATACTTCGACCCTCAACTTTGACCTCAAGCCTCAAATCCCCGCATTGCTCCATAGGCCTGGCAAGGAGATCAGCTGGCAGCTGGTCGCCTGACCGTAAGAGACTTGGGGGTTTCGAGGTCTTCGGGTTTTTCGAGTTTGGGGTGTGAAGTTCCGAAAGCTCAGGAGCTTCCGTTGAAGGCGAAGACTTCTTATTGGACGCACCTGGAGGATCAGAGAGGCGAGACGGACTCCAGACCGCTGTGGCGGCACGGGAGGTTTCACAGGCGTTCGGGTGCCAAGGGCTTGTAAATGGAGTGCGGTTATCGCAGCTGTTGGAAAGGAACTCTCAGCCGCAAAGACATCCCAAACACCGAAGCCTAAACCCTAAGCCTGTCAAAGCCAAAAGCCACAGGCCCCATAAGCCCATAAGCCCCATAAGCCCCCTAGACCCCCTAAACCCCATAAACCACATTGACATGAACCCCATAAACCCTATAAGGCGCATACACCCCATAAACCTCCTAAACCTCATAAACCCCATAAGCCCCCTAAAACCCACTGGACCCGAACACTACAACCTTGTTTTGAGAGCAGGTGTTCAGGCCTCGGGCCCATCTGCGCAGCTGACGATCTGAACAGTCAGGTCCTCAGCGACCGGCAGCTGCTTGGGGGGGGGGCTCTTTTCGGGGCTTTGTGGGGGGGGGGGGGGCGTTTGAGAGAAGATGCAAAGGGGCTTCAAGAGCTGAGCTTCTAGCAGCTCAGCCATATAGCAAAGCATGTGCTTTTTCTACTTGTAGATGAGCAACCCCCAGCCCCAAAACAATACACGCCACGGATGCTTGATTCATGGAAGCACGCCCGAATCAAGCGCAACAGGCAGATGAGCTCGGGTCAGAGGCCACGTGGATCACGCAGGCGTGCAGGCGGGTGCCCATCAGAAGTGAAAGTACCACATTCTCCTGGCAGCTGCAAGGTCAAAGAGCAACCGTGTGGGTTTGGGCTACGTGGCTGTTATGGCTGATAGGGTTTTGAGGCTTTCGGGTATTGGCCTTTAGGGTTTCGGCGTTAGAGGGCTTGCACGGCTTAGGAAAGCAGGAAGACAACGCAGCCGCAGATCTGGCATCTCATGCCCTACACGCGGCCCTCAACGAAACCCTCAAAAGCCTCAAGTATCCCAAGATGTCTGAATATGTAAGAACTTAGGATCCCAAATAAATCGCTCCCTGCATCCTACTTTTTTCCCTGCTTTGCTGCTCACTGCCCGGTTTCCCTGGCTCCTCGCCCGACTCTTCGAGCTGAAGGCTGGAAACATTTGCCTACAACAGGCTTTGAGGGCTTCAGGCCCAAAGAGCCCTCTTTATACCCCTTAAATACGGAATATGCCCTACATCGTACTAAGGACCCCCCCCCCCCCCACCCATGCAATTGAAGGCAGATTCCTTAGTTAAGGGATAGTGGGCTCTCTCTGGGGGGTTGTCGGTGTTTAGGGTGGCTTCAGGATCCCTGGGGGCTTCTCAAGGTTTTGGGCAAGGCGCTTCGGGGTTGAAGGTGGGGGAGCTTCACCCCAAACCCGAAACCCTAAACCCAAATCTTGGCTCTGCAAGTGTTTCGTGTTCTGTGCCCCTTTGCCAACTCTCGCAAGCGCTCCTCCGTCTCGAACTACGTGGCGTATCACAGACAACGACGAAGGACAGAAAGCTCTGGCGGGTCTGGGGAAGTTCCCAGCTGGGGTCCCCTTTGGAAGATCTGTTCCACAGTACATCCCACCGTAAAAAATCCCGGAAAGCGGCAGATCCCCCCCTTGTTGTCGAACGACCCCCAATTCGATGCAGAAACTTCCCTAAACTCTAAAACCTAAACCCTAAACCCTAAACCCTACACCCTAAACCCTAAACCCTAAACCCTAAATCCTAAACCCTGAACCCTAGACCCCAAACCCTAAACCTGGTGCCGGGCGTCTGCAGGCAAGGATGCCCTGGAGGCGACGCGTGGAGCCGCGATGTCCAGAGCGGCCAGGAAGACCTCGTTTTAGGGCTTAAGGTTTAGGGTTTAGGGTTTAGGGTTTAGGGATCTAGGGTTTAGGGATCTATGAAAAGGGTGTGAATGCATCTCCAAGAATGTCCAGGTCCTTGATGCTCTTTGAGCTATAGTTGCTACGCGGTATGCGTCATACCATTCCAAAATGTCTCAGCAATGGCATTTTTCCTGTATTTCTCTTCGCTCGTACTCTACTGTAACCAAGGGACCCGGCAAAATCTCTCTCTCTTTCTCTCTCTCTCTCTCTCTCTCTCTCTCTCTCTGCAGCGCAAGCGCTTGTAGAGTATTTCAGTGAGCCTGTTTGGCACAGCACTAATATAAGACAGGAAGCTCTAATCTGGGTGGAACTTACCATAGATTTCATCTCTAAACATGGCTGCGTAGGAGGTTTTCTCGACGAAGGCAATTGTATGAGCAAGCTCTCTGCCGCTTTCCGTAGCAGTGCACAAGTTGTTCAAAGAAAACCATATTCCTGTGCAACGTTTCCAGAAACTGAAAAGACTTCTGGCTTTTTCAACTGCGAAAGTTGCTGGATTCGGACTAGTAAAAAAGCGGCACGATGTCGACTTTCTCATTGCCACCTTATTCAACCTTCCTCACTGCCTACTTCAGCTGAGATGTAGTCCGAAACCAGCCAGAAGCAATGCCTACATGACGCTGTGGGAACCTATATTTCCGTTCAGAAGCCCCCGGGAAAGTAATGCATGATTCGCCACCGAAGAACTTAATCAACTGACCTCGAGCTTTGAAAAGCTTTGCTCGTTGCTACTCGCAACATTGTTCTCGAAAGCCCCGTGGGGCTGAGAGTGACTTGGCTAAAGAAAAGGGTACCCCTTATATACCCCATACAACCCAAGGGCCCATACATCAGAACCGCTTAAAGGAGGTAAGGGACCATATTGAGGGCCCATGAAGCGACCCTTGGGTTCACCTGTGTTTGAGGGTTTGGGGTTCTGGGTTCACCTGGGTTTTAGGGTTCGACTGGGTTCTAGGCCTCAACTGGGTTTAGGGATGTTTAGGGTTTTGGGGTCTTGTGGCAGTGCACCTCTGCCTCCTTCACGTAGGCCACCAGCCTCGGAGAGTCTAGCAACCGTCTGAATCACTCAGGGCATCGCGGCAGAATGACGAAGTCTGTCTGAAGCAGCACGCCGCTACGATCGAACCTCCAGCCCAGAGCACCAGCAGCAGTCATAAGCCTCAAGCCTTGTAGCCAGAACTGAAAACATGTGTGTCGAATCCAACGAAGTTACAAGAAATCACGCTTCGAGGAGAAAATTCCTGAAGACAGGTCTGGGGCTTAGGGCTTAGGGGTGTAGGGTAGCTCTGATATGTACATCTGCTACAACATCCCCCCGCCGTGAAGACGTTTTGTCGCCAGGTCACGCTGGCGAGCCCAGCGATGCCAATGCCTCGCAAGCATCCCGCTTGAAGCACTGAATCCCTGAATCCTCGAAAGGCTCCAACCGCGAGCCAACACCCAAGCCAGCTGAAAGCCTTAAACCCCAAACCCTAAACCCTAAACCCTAAATCCTAAACCCTAAACCCTAAACTCTAAACCCTCCTAAACCCTAACCCTAAACCCTAAACCTTAAACCCTCAGAGAAACAGCGGCAGCAATGCATGACACTTGCTGGGCCAATGGCAGGAGATGCGATGTCCACCTCTGTAGCCACCAAGAGCTCCTGGAATCTGCTCAAAGGGCTTGTCTCCCTTCTATCTATACGTATATGTGTATGTATATATATATATACTATACATATACATATTTTTATATGCATATTATATGTATGTATGTATGTATGACTATACATATATATATATATACATATCCATACATATATATATATATATATACATGTGCTTATATTTCTGTATTTATGTAGCTATATGCATAAATATACCCCGTTACGAGTAGGGAACGATACAGGGACCCCAACTCACCAATTTCCTATTGCGAGAGTTTCATGTGCGTGTGGCTTTGGCTTGAGAAGCTGGGTGCAATGCAAAGGCTTCCAGAACTGTCTCGCGAAACACTTTGTGGCGGGCACTGGAGGCTGCAAACAAAGGCATCCCACGTTTCCCGTCGAAGCTTCCAGAAGTGCCCCAAAACAACACCTACAGCTGCCAAGATATGCCCGCGGCGAAAGTTGTTTCAAGCTCCAAGGAGGTTCAGGCTTACGTGGCCCGCGGCACATGCATACCTTCCAGGGTAGGCTACAACTTGAAACCCTGAACCGAACACCTGAACCCCAAACAAAGCCTCCGAGATCGAAACCTCCCAAGCCCGGAACTCTGATCGCGAAGTCCCGACATCAAACCCTTGCTTCTGGGTTGTCATCCCCCTGACATAGCCCACTGGGCGAGAGAAGAGAAACCCCAAACCCTAAACCCCAAGGGGGGCTTCACGGTTCATGGCGAGAGGCTGAACTCAGGGCAAGCTCGAGGCTGGTGCCGTTGCGCTGGCAGATGCTGACCCGCAAGTCCAGCGCCTGCGCTGCGGGTGCCGTGATGTTGCTTTCTGGGTTGGCCTTTAAACCCTTTGAGAAGTATTTATTCTAATTTTGGGCCGCTTTTCATCTCAAATAAGGAGAAAATAACATGTCCCAAAAGCCACCTTGCTTTTGCTCGTGGCTTAGGTCCTTAGGAGGTTTTGTGATGTTCAGCAAGTCTTGGGCTACACCGTGGCAAGGCTTAGTGTAGGCCAGCGATGCTCAAGCAAGCATTCTCTGGAGAGGCTGCTTCCTGTCCGACCAGAATCATGGCCAGTCAAGCACCCAGGCCTCGGCGTCGGATGCGTTGATGCTGGAACTTGCCTTGGGCACGCGAGACTGCCACGCGCGGGCATTTGACCCTTCGATTCAAGCCCTGCATTCTTCAGCTCAAAAGCGCCACATGTGAAACAGTGTGCCCCTTCCTGAAAGCCCCACCTGGTGCGCAAGCATCAGCTCCCCACTTTCCAGGCCAAGAACTGACACCTGCACTGCAAGCATCGAGAACTAGGAGTTGGTACACTTGTTTCAGATGCCACCGAAGTTTGTCAACATCCTGTATCAGAAGACTTCACTCTGATACAGCGTCTCCTCTGTGACACATTAACACCAGGTAGTTGCGATATGGGCACTTTTCGAGGTTTGCGACGTGCTGCGATTCCAACGCCGCCTTCGAGGGATCGTGGAATTGAAGCGGCAGCCTGAAGGGTCGGTCACATGGACTGGGGAGAAGGGCACTTCACTCGATAACAATAGTTGATCACGAACGTCTTCTTTATAAGCCACGAGGCATCAACCTGACTCGCACTCCATGCAGACACAGAGCAGTTGACACCATCATCACATACATGTGCATGTAACCCTGCTGGAGTCGGTGCTCCCCGCGTATTTGTGCATAGCCCCAAGAACAAACGGTATACTGGATACATCGATTGAGGCTCCCCAAGCCTCAGTCTGCCCGAGCCACTCTCTTTCCTTCTCTCCTTTGAGTTCCACACATCATCATAGATCATCATAGTCATCTGATAGCTGTGTCGGAAGCCGTCACGAATCTCCAAAAGTTAACTGGCACACGCCGTTAGCCTTAAATGCCTTGAATCTGCCAGCGTGATGCCCATTACCCCCAAGTTGTACGACCCTGAACCTTCGACGACCCTTGAAGCCTACCTACATCCCTGAGAGAGCAACAGAAAGGCACCTGAAACCCACCAACTTGCCCTCCCTAAACCCCTACAACCCCCTCACCGAAGGCCTGGGCCCCAAGTGAGCAAGGCCGCTGAGACCCAAAGCCATGCGCAGCAACGCGAGGGCCAGGCGCCATCTGGGTGCCATGGGCAGGGGAGGCACGGGTGTCAGACTAGAGGGACAAGGTCGTGATCCGCTACTAATATTTTATAGGATGACGAATTGGCTTCGAGAGTCTCGGAGGGCTAAGGGAAAGGTAAAAGAGGGTGTAGGTCGAGGTTCGGATCCTCCAGGAGGGTGTAGAACCAAAGTGGTTTTGGTTTTTGTTGTTCACTGGGTTCAGGTCCGCAGGGGCGACATGCTAAGCTTAGGTTCTTGCGTCGAGGATATACCTGTGCGCATCATGCTCGCAAGCTTCTCGGATGGCTGCAGCATTCGTTGTTCACGACCTTGCTTGAAAGGCACACACTCATAATATATGTATATATGACAAACCCAGTCATGGCCGGATATGACTGGCTTCCACTCTCTCTTCTCCAGACCGAACTGTGAAAATAATTGCATTGAAGTGCTCTGATTATGGGGTGTTTTCGGACAAGTGGGTGCAATTGCAAACGCTGATGATACACAGACTGCCTAAGCCAAGCATCACCTGGCACGAAGAGATAGACGAGGTCGGTAACTCTGGCATCCGCGTTACATCACAGCATGGTCTCTGTCAGCCAGTGCACCTGGCCCCCTGCTTCTGAAACGACATATGCAATAGGCTAAAACTTTTGGAACCAGAGGGTACCTACACACACATGACGAGGCGCCGACTGACGTGGAGCGTTGTCCTATTCCTTTCCTTGCCACCACAGGCTTGATAAAACAATGGGCAGAGCGTTGTCCGCCAGTGACACTGCATCGCGACAGCCCAGGCTGTACCGAAATGCCGCTGTGTTGTCTGCACCCTCTTTCCGCAGCGGTCCCCAGGCGTTTCCTCACAGGCAGTGGCTGCCACGTAAGCTCAGCCCAGTCGTATATCTCTTTTGAAAGGCTACCCCATAGCAGGTTCATGGCTGTTATGGACAGGGATTTTCTTGCCCGAATGTACCAAACAGACTACGGGGCCCCGCACAAAAACGTTCCCAAAAAGGACTATCCTGACAGACGCTTCAAAAGATCACGGGCCCTACCCTTTGCAACGCATGCTCGATGCCATGGTCTGTGCTTCTTGGGAAATCCTCACGATGATCTGCGACCCTGGGACTGCAGCATACTGCACCCATCATGAGGGGGTTTAACTAGTGCTTAGTGCACTTCGAGGTTCGGGAGATGAAGGAACCCAAAGGAGGCAGCGACTCTCCGAGCCTTTAGTGGGGCTCCCAAGCCGAAAGCCGGGGCCTGCCGGCGGCGAGGACGATCGGCCACACACGTCAGGAGGTCCAGCCTTTGCCGGAACAGTGTCTTAACTCTTGGCTTGGCTTTCACTTACCGATATCGTTGTAGGTTTCCGCAGCAGACGTGAAAGTTTCAGCAGTCCGAAAAACACAACTTTACCCCGGGGGGGAGGCGGGGGGGAGGGGCGGGGGGTCGGCCTCTCTCCTGTTCAACTTATGGACAGACCCACCCAAGCGCCTCAACATGCCTCAACTGAGGTGTGCGCCGTTGAAAACTGGATCCGAATACAAGCAGCTACTGCTAGAGAACATGGATGCATTGCAACAGGCAACTTTTCTCAGCAACGTGTCGTGAACCACCGCTCTTCCACCAAGGCAACGGGACCAATGGCTTCAAGGATGCGGTGGTGCAGACGTCTTCGGTCGTAGGGACTGCACGCTGCTGTCTTCAGCAACTGCCTACTTAGCCTACTTGGCGCGATTAGCCGCCCCGGAATATGAAATGTGACGCTTCGCTCCGGCACCAAGGCAGCGAGACCTGTGGTTGCAGAGCATCTGTTCACAAAAAGAGTCCTGGCATGCCAACTCAGGGCCCCTTCTCTGAATTCCTGCGCCAAGGCATCGTGACCGATGGCTGCAGGAATGCGAGGCAGCAGGGGCCAGAAAGAAGCATGCTGGAGGCATGCGACCAATTCAAGCAGCTATATGTGCTTTGCATGAGTTTGGACACCGTCAAGATGCGCAGCTGGCCAAACCAGGTTGGAACAACACATCCTGTGTACAGTGCACATCTATGTATTCTGCCGCCATGACCACTCTGTGTTGGCAGCACAGCAACTTACATAGAGCACCAAGGTCATTGCCTCGCATCTGACAACGGCATGTCAAAAAGGTGTGTGCCGATACGGCGCAAGAAGGCACCAAAGAGAGCGCAGCAGAAGATGGTATCTAAGCACGAAGGCTTGAACGGCTGGGAACACGTCACAGGCAGGCTTCCATGATTTGAACCGACAACTACTGCCCAAGGCTGCCTCGGAAGAGCCGCGTTCTCTCAGCAATCACAGAGTCATGGCATCGCTGTACATCGGAAATCCCAAACTGGAGTCCGTGCGGAGCCCTCCTTGCATCATGGCCAAGGGCTCACCATTGCTGTCGTCACTGCCATCGCCGTCCGGATTTGATTCGTGGGGAGCTTCGCGACGGAGCTTGGGGCGATCCTTCCGGCGGATCTTTCGGAAGGCTCCGTTGAGCATGTCTGCATCAGACTTTAGCGCCAGCACATCACGACCTCCCAGTTCGTAGATACTGCCTGGAGAGTCTGTAACTGGACTGGAAACTGACAAACTGGCCCGAGCACCCGGAAAACCTTTCAAGTGGCACGGTCCCGATCTAGAATCTAGACTTACCTGACGAGATGCTAAACAGTTCTTTTATGTTATTTTCAGAGATTGGAGGCAAACTTCACACACAAACAAAACAACACAACACAACGCAACACAAAACCAAACAAAACAAAGAAGTAATAGCGCGGAGCAAAGAACAGAGCTGCTTCGGGAACAGTCATATTCAGGCCAGAAAACCTCTAACAGCCCCCTTAGCGGCCTTGAGCCTCCGGCTGCAAGAGCTCCCCCAGCTGCTGTTGGGTCAGCGGCACGAAAAGGGCTTTGGCCGGGCACCAGCCTGGAGCCACCTCGCAGCCTGCCTCTAAGACCCTTCTGTGCAGATCTGTGAGTGGCCCGTTAGGGTCAAAGAGAATGTTGTTGACGTCCTCCGTGTTGGACCTCCGTCTGAACCTGAAGATCACCACGCCGTCCCCGCTCAACGGCGGTGCGTCGTCCTTGCTGTTGCGAATCGCTGTGAGGAGATCGTTAGTTGAATCTTGGTCAGGGCCACTTGCCTTCGCACCTGCGGCATGTGCGCTTTCGTCCACCCTGAAGGCAAGAGGGTTCTCCTCCACACTCGGGAAACCAGGAGCATCATCATCATGCCCATTTTGGGCATCCACCTGCTGGCAGTTGGCAGAACGCTGCTCTGCGGCCGCCTTTGCCATTCGCTCTGCAAAGAAATCAATAGTAATTGGGCTTGACTGGATACCATGCAGCAATTCCGTCTCACGCCCGTCAATAACCTTGAGAAGCCCTGGTCTGACAGCTGCAAAACTCAGGACATGATTGAGAACAGATTGCGGAACCACCCGTCCGCATGCCCATGAACGCATGGCTTGCGAAAGGTTGATGCCCATCTCGCATCGAGCATGCTGCCATGCTGCTTCCAAAGACGGTTGCAGAGCTGAGCGTGCTGCTGCCTGTCGCTTCTCGAAGGGCGCTAGCAAGAAGTAGTCTTCAGGAGCACCGTTTTCGCCACAGACTGGACATGCAAAGAGCAGGTGATCCAAGCACAAGCTCTGTGTCCACCTGGACATCTCCGTAAGTCCCAGTGACATGCAAAGCCGCGCTCCGGTACTGTGACCACATAATAGGCATAGATCAAGAAGCGTGAGATAAGCAAGCTGCTCATACGGTGCGCAATTGCAGCCCACAAGAAAAGAGAAGGTAGTCAAGTACTTCGCAGAAGCAGGACAAGCCATGCCCATTTCAAGCAGCCTTCGCTCACAAACTGCAATCTGAAAGCGGTCACAACTCACTGTGCATAGCGCGGTTGCCGCCAACATGTTTTGTGTTTGTAAAGGAGCCCATGAACTGGCAGCTGGTTCTTCTGGCAGGAACTCCCCGATTTGCTTCCATAGCTCGTAGTCATACAGTGCAACTGCCACACGGAAAGGCATCTCCTGGAAAGACGACGGCCGTGGAGCTTTCAGGCAGGCAAGGGAAGCGCCCACAGCCACAGCTGACTCAATGACTTTCGAATCCTGGACAACTAACCAATAGCCCCTCTCGTCCAAATATTCGTCGAATACATCCTGCCAGACCCACCGCCTGAGTGGTCGATGCATGCTAGTTGCAGCTAGCTCCTCTGCCAATGCCCTGTCTCCACTCAGAATTGCGATGTCCAGGAGTCGGGCGCTTGCCTCCTTCGAAACCTTCAGGTTGGGTAGAGATTGGCCGTTTCGGAGGGCCTTTGAAACCATGCGAGCTGTGGGGCGCGCCGCTGCAACCTCCGCAGCTTCGACTGCATGGGTCAGTGCCGCATCCCAGTCAACCATCCACGAGTGCGTTTCGGTGTCGAAGCCGTAACAACAGCTTGGGCACGTGTGCCAACTGCTCCCACAGGTGCACTCTGCGAATTGTGGTGGGCGCGCACGCCCTGCGAACGGTCCCAAGTGGCGGACCTCCAGCTCACAGCCTGGAACGCCATGGGCCAGCAGAGCGGCGGCTGTTCCGTGGTGGCCGAAATGAAGGCACAACCCGAAGAGATGGCACGAGCCGATGTTCTGACCGAGCAGCGCCGCCTTTCCATTCAGGATGGCCTCCGCGATCTCAAACTCATTCACATCGATGATATCCTCCAGCCTCAGCTCCTCTCCTGCATGCGGCCTCAGCTGCAAGAAGTCCCGAGCATCCATCCGGTCACAATTTTCGGGCACAGTATGGCTCAGTGCAGATGCTACAGCACAGGGTGCTGATGGGCCAAGCTGCAGGCCCAGGAATGCAAAGGTCGTGGCATCTCGACTGCAGTGAAGAGCCCAAGGCCAGCCTATAAGCCTGCGCAGATGCCAAGCATGAAACCTCCATTCACGCCGGAGCCGGCTGCTCTTTTCCCTTTCGACTACTGGCTCACAGCGGAAGCCGGTGCGGCGTCGCAGACACCTCCCAGTCCTGGACAGGGAGGGGCAAGTCAAAATTCGGTTGAAGTACCCGGTGACAGAAACTGAAAGCGGGGGCAAGCCTATGCCCTGAAGAGCAGCTCTCTGGCGAAACTGAGCTCTCCCGAACCCTCATCCCAAACCCTGAAGCAACCTGAACCCCCAAACGTTGAGCCACAAAAGCTTCAACCCTAAACCCTAAACCGTAAACCTTAAACCCTAAACCCTGAACCCTAAACCCTAAACCCTAAGCCCAACACACCCGGAGCCCGAACCTCAGCCAGCAGCCCGACTGGGGGCCCGAAGAGCGCCCGGAACTGCGCCAGCCAGCAGCTGAGGATCTCCTCCACCCGGTCTGAGCCCCAGAGGTGCCGCGCCTGGAAACAGGGGGGGGTAAAGGTATTGAGGTGTCATACGGAAGGCTTTAGGGTTCAGGAAGGGTAGGTCAAGGATGCAGATTCGGACTTCGGACTTGCTTCAGTGTATGGGGTCCGAGCACAGATGGCTGAAAAAGGCCTGTTCAGGCTGGTGCTGAAGCCGTTGTGCACTTTGAGTTGAATGTGCAAGTACTCAAGTTGTTCAAGCTAGTCTAGTGTAGTGCTAAACCGCCTCACCCTGTAAAAAACAAGCATGTCTGTCAGGTCCTGAAACCCCCAACCCCAACACCGAAGAAATTCATGACGTGACGCTCGAACAAGGTCCCCCACAGCTTCAGTGCCCCCTTACGCTGCGAGCGTTTAGGGTTCAGGGGAAGTCTGAAGACTCTCGCCTCCGTCAGCGCCTCAGGCAGCTTCTCACCGCGCCAGGGCCGCGCGCCCCGACGGAGAACGGCCAGTGCCACCTCATTGCGCGTGTGCGAACACAACGGAAGAAGTCCCGCTCATTCGGTTCCCCAGGCCAAACAGGGAGTCGCACGGCATTCGGTCGGAATGTAGAATGCTGCCGAGCCGCCTCCTGCATCAGTAGTGCCGGAAGCACGGCCTCCACTGGGCTTGCAACTGCTTGGAGGTTCATGGTACTGACTATCCCAAACAGAACTGCACTTATAACCCAAGTATAACCATGTTAAGACACTTAAGGGGCTTATAAGTGGGTTAGAAGTACAGTTCTAACTGGGTCATTAGCACCATGAACCTCCAAGTAGGGCCAAGCAGAAAGCGGGGGAGGCTTTGAGCCGGGATTGGGTCCTAGCTAGCCTTATCGTCCTCTACAATTGCACCCCATTCGCATTAGTACCTTAAGTGCATCTCAGTGTAAATGCAACTCAGTTCATGAGCATCATCTTGGCTCCATATACTTGTGCTGGGTCCACGCGTGCAGGCCACACCCGAATGCTTGGTCCAAATTATGAGCATGCCACGCCTGTGCATGCAGAAACAGCTCGGCCCGTGTTGTTTTGAAATCAGTACCAGTTCAGAGGTTCAGACACAACCCTGATGACAAGCCAAGATGAGCATTGGGAGGGCCTCCCGTGCTTGCTCGCAGACGAAAACGAGCCCGCACAGCGATGTTAACGCCTCTGGCAACACGGCAACACCGTGAAGGTTTAAAGGGGTCACACACACATACGCCTTCCCCCACAAATTATGACACAGAGAATTTGGCTGCACAGGTTCGGTTAGGATGAAGGGATCACGACTTCTCCCAGTCAGCTTGGCACTGGGGCACACACAAGTCTACGAGGGCGACACACGCGAGAACCCAAACACGCCACCAACCTTTTAAAAACCAAAAAGGTTAATCCCCAAAGCCCTCAGTACAGAGACCCTAAACCCCTGCTCAACCACCAGCCCGCAATTTATTACAAACAACCAGTGCTCTCAAATCCGACGACGCCACGCCCGCCTGATCGGGCAGCGTTGGCGAGGCGAAGGAGATCGCGGCGGCTCCTTGTGTTTCATTCGGATTCAGGAGGGCCTTGAGGGCAAAATTGAATTGCAGTAAAACTGCGGCCCTCCTGACCATCCGCGCTTTTTGGTATCTCTCGTTCAGCTGGACACTCCAAACCTCCAAGCCCGAATCTTCCATGATTGATTGAAATTCCTTTTAAGTCTGCAGGGGCCCTGGGATCAGAAGTCCGAGATGACGCTTCCGTTTGCAGCTTGGTGGTGTTTTGGGGTAGGAATCCCCGTGTCCTCCGGGGAGCTCATCGACCAGGGCCTTGCAGGAGGGATCTTTGACAGATCGGTTGGGCTCTGTCAGAAGGTGCTTGTGAGATGTAGCATTGTCGTAGACTTAGTAGACCGTCCATAATACTAATTATGATAGGGGGTACTACAATCCATATTATGAACTGCTAGTAAAAGGGGGAACAGCCCAAGTAATTAGTAGATGTACTCGGGCGGTTCCCTAAATCGTGGACCTCTAGAGATCCTATGCACAAGGCCCCATCATACACTTAGGGAGTCTCGCGACATTTAAGGGAACCCGCCACTAGCACGCTGAGTGCAAGATACTCTAAGGAGGGAGGCTGGCTTGGTTTTCTTATCATGAATAGTAACCATAACAAAAACAAAAACAATAGTGGGCGCGCTCAAGACATATGAGAACAAGAAGAACCAGAAGAACAAGAAGAAGAACAAGAACAACAACGACAACCGCAGCGAAAACAAAAAGCACAACCACAACGACGACCACAACCACACACGACCACAACCACAACCACCGCCAGAAAACACACACACACACACAAAGCAACAAAGCAAAACAAAACAAAACAAACAACGTACGTGTTTGGTCAAAATTGGGTTGTCGCGTGGGCTATTTGCCATCATATGCCAGAAACAGATTTTTGTAGTACGTTTCCAGGTGAAAAACTACGGGTACACTGCTCTTTTTTTTTTTGGGGGGGGGGGGCAGTTTTGGCGCTTTACACAAACGAGCACACATGATCAGTATAGCACCGACGTTATTCTCGTTGGAGCATGGATGCGCTGGCCAGTCCGTGTTACAATTGCATTCAGTGGGCAGCTGTTGGTTGCGGTCGGTTGGTACTGGTACTGCCCATGCGTGTTTTCTGTGTCTAACGCCCCAAAACTGTAACCCTCCACTTCTTGCTTGAAGTTGCTGGACCTTGGAGTAAGTCCACCATGGAGGAGTGCAAAGCCCCAACCCCCGAACTTCACACCTTGAGGGTTTTGGGCTCGCATGATTTTGTTGGGGATGAGCTTTTGGGTTTAGGGTTTGAACGTACGACAGAAAACGCCCACCCCCTACCCCCACACCCCCACACCCATCGTGAAAGCCGAAAACCCCCTACGACGAACTCGTGAGCACCATTTGTGTAATGCACGCTCCTGGTGAGGATGAGGGGAAGGCGAAACTGTGACAAGGAGCCCGGGCCAAGCCTAAGGCCCCGAAGCCCGAGTGCATGCTCAAGCACATGTGGCACTCAAGCACATGCGGCCACACGAGATCATGGAAGGACTTGCCGCCAAGTCTAGCACCCGAAACCCTGCAGGTCAAACCACCCAAGCCGCCCCTTTGGACGCGAAATCCTCAGAGCTGTGAAGTTCTGGAGATCCTAAACTCTGGAATTCTCATGTCAAGCCCCAAGCCCTGAAAGCCCTCAAACCCTGAAGCCCTCGGCCGTGCTTCAGTTTAGGCTTTAGGGTTCTAGGGTTTAGGGTTTAGGGTTCAGGGTTTAGGGTTCAGGGTTTAGGGTTCAGGGTTTAGGGGTTTTTGGGGTTTTGGGGGTGTTACGCCTGGCGCGGCAGCGAGGGGCAGCGAGGCAGCTGGCGCCGTCGCTCGGCGAAGGACTCCGCCCAGGCGGGTGGAAGCCTCTAGGGTTCGAAAGTTAGGGTTTAGGGTTCAAGGTTCAGGGTTCAAGGTTCAGGGTTCAGGGTTCAGGGTTCAAGGTTCAAGGGCTTCGATTTAAGATGAGGGTGTTAAGTGTCGGGAGTTTAGGGTTGAGAGGATCGTCTGGGCAGTTCATCCTAGTAGTATTAATACTTATATACTAGTATTAATACTGATATATTAGTATTAATACTAATATATAAGTATTAATACTAACATATTAGTATATGTCTGCCTGTGCGGTCTGGATCTTCCTAAACCTGGGGGGCTGACCTGCGGCTGAAGTCTACTGCGGCACCCTTGGTTCAGTAAAGCCAACCTCACCCCTCAAAAAAGGGAACAAGGCTTGAATAAAGGTAACCCTGGCCGTCTTAGAGTTGGATTCACAAAAAATTCGTCCGGGTGGTTCTCTGGCGCTAGTATTTTCAGAAACCCTCCTGAAAAGATTCGGCCTGGCTCTTGCCGGAGGTGCCCCCAGCTACAACAGGGGACTTTTCAACTGGCTACGAACTCCCGACTGAACGCTTACAAACCAGGACCTTGAAAACAGATCTGAACGCATCTGCAATGAACCCCTGTCGGCCCTCCTGAAAAGTGCGCATGTTAACAAACCAGAACAGCACCAGCCAAAGTCACCCAGCGTCAACTGCTGCGCTCTCCAGCATCTCGAGGTAGCCTTTTGCGGAAGCTGTCATGCTGTGCAGGCAGCTGCTGGTGGGAGTTGCTGGCTGCCCAATTGCAAAGAGCTGTGTCTCGGGAAAGCGAACTCTGGAAAGAACTCATTGCGGAGTACTTCTGGGAAGCAGTTGAGTCCCGCAGCAGAAGCACGCAAGCGCACACAAACACACACACACACACACACACACACACACACACACACACAAGTCAAGGGTGCAAAACAGAACGAGCAACCTATGCTCTGCTGGACTGTTCAAGGACTCATGGTGGTGATCGTGGCCTCAGCCGAGGCCCAAAAAGGCGGGGGGACGAAGGGAATCGGTGCGTGCTTGAAACTCACAGAAACACCCCTACACCCCCGTAAGAACTGAATACTCAAGCCGAGGGTCGTGCGCTTGGTCTCGCCTCTACGCCCTGGAGGCCAGGGTGAAAATGGAACTGGCAATTCAGAGATGTGTTGGCCACGTTTCTCTCTAGATTCTATATTCAAGGGCTTTTGGAATGTAAGGGAGGTGCCGTAACATTGGAGCGCAGGCATTCATGTGTTCGCGCACCACCGGTCAAGTTCTTAATTCCTTGCAAGGCTCGCATTCACCTCCTGGAGCCAGCAAGCGGCGCGAGGCAAGGTTCACCGCGTGCTCTTTGCGCTACTTCGGCGTTGCGGATTCAACGGCAGCAAGTATGCCGGCTTGCACGTTGGGATCGTAGGAGGTCGGGCGCAGCCTCCGCTCCTTATAGTAGCCCGTGAACACTCTCAAATTCAGGGCTCGCCGCGGCAAAGACTGTGTGGATTTGGCCGCCTTGGCCGCGCTTTTGCCGCCATCCTCCTTGAACATCATCTTGAAGCAGGACCCGGCAGCTCCGCTAGCGATAGAGTCTTGGTCATCGCAGTTGAGGAACGCCCTGGAAACACAATGTTCACTGTGACGCCTTCAGCCATCTACGCCGACATCGATTCGGGCACGCTCTTAGAGTGGGCATACACCGTTAGGCCCTTGAAGCCCTTCTCCGCAAGCAGGTTGCCCGGACAGCTTCTCAAGCAAAGTCTGCGGCAGTCAAACGCCTACATTTTTGTATCACACAAGCTAAGCTTCTCTAACGGTCGCATCGTCACAGCCACTTGTAGCATGTGAGAAGGTTATTGGCAACGACACAAATAGAAAATGCTGCACATGTCCACCTGCATGCATGAGGCATCCTCCCCCCCGAGTAGCGGATTCACCCCTCTGAAGCCCAGAGCAAGGCCAGCCTCCGGCAACCGCATCGAGGGGCCGCAGGTGTAAAAAGTGCAGCCCTCCCCTGCGCACGTGGAAGCAGCGAAGCTCGCTTGCTGTGATTTGGGAATTCGTGGGGGCACTAGACGGTTTGGGGTGAGCATTTGGAGGGGTTCAGGGTATTCCCGTGTTATTGGATGGCTTCAGTTTTTGCCTCAGTGATGTGAATGAAGAAGCCACTGGACCCTGAAACTCTCAACACAAGTCTCAAGATGTCGAGTCTACGAGCCCATCCCCAAAGGCCCAAAATCGCCCTTGAACCCGAAACCCTACAAACCCAATACTAACCCTATAAAACCCAATACTTACCCAATACTTACCCAATCGGCCCTAAACTGTTCCCGGCTTTTTGGGCCTGGACCCTCAGCTTCTCCAGCCTGGCAGCTCAGAGCCATTGAGGTCTCTCAGGCGGCCGCCCTCCACCCGCAGGTTCTGGCCCTCCGGAACGCCCTCCTCAGGGTTTAGGGTTTAGGGTTCAGGGTTGAGGGTTGACGGTTTTGGGTTTAGGGTTAAGGGTTTGGCTGAGGAGGCTGGGGTTGAAGGCTTAGGGTGCGGGGGGAGGGTCAAAAGAGAGGGAGTCCTGACGCAAGGCATAAGCCGAAAGCTACCCTCGAGGTCAATTTCTGGTGGTATACTTGCATCCCCATGCACACTAGAGGCTTCATGAGCCAGCTGTGGAATCAGCAACCGATCATTGGAGGCTTTTGGGCTTTTGGACCAGACCCCTAAACCCGAAGGCACGGAACCTCTGAATGGCGAAAACCCGGAAGCCTTTACACCCGAAAGTCTTCGTTATTACGGGGTGCATAAGTCACCCCTGTGGCAGGGCTGGGGCGAACATCATTGGGACTCTGGATCTATTGTCAAATGAGTTTGCGCGCATCGACTCGAGGGGTTCACGTGTGACCCGAAAGATTTCCTAGAAGACGCTGCTGAGAAGAGTCAAAGTTCCAAGCCGTCTAGGACGTGGAGCTGCTCCTGCCAAGGGGCCATGATTTCACAGACTCAACTCGGGCTGATGGCAGATTAGCCCTAAACCCTAAACCCTAAACCCGAAACCCTAAAACCTTAAACCCTAAACCCTAAACCGGTGGGTGCACACCTTGCTTCATGGAAAGCGGCCCAGGGTTCAGGCCCGGCTCCGAAAATTCCCAAGCCCAGAAGCAGAGTGGCGACTTCAGAAATCCCACGACGAAGCGTCTACCGCCTTTTTCAGTTCAGGCCCTGTAGAGGGTAGGGCGTGCACCTACTGAGAGTGTGTGTGGATTTAGGTAGTTTGAGTTTTGGGCCCCTGGGAGCTCGGGCATTCAGTTCTCCTACAGTTGGGTCCTACAGGTTGCTGGTCCTGCGTCGATTGCCTTTCATTAGGATTTCTTTTGCGAGCGCGTGGTTTCAGCTTGGGCGGGCGATCGGGTCTCGTTTGCTTGGACCTTCTGGAAGCTGAACGCGTGCGCGGCTGAGGTTGGACGAGGACTTTACGGGACTTGCAGTCGGCAAAAGGCCCGATAGGTCCCTTGTGGCCATGCGCGTGTGAAGACCCTAGCCACAAGAAGCCGGCAACGCCTCACTGAGCATGTGAACCACGCCGTAGATCCTGTCAGAGTGTTGCAGGAAATCGATGCCAGACTGAACTGGAAATAGAAATGAAGTTTTACCCATGCTTCTTCATGATTTAGGGTTTAGGGTTGGTACTGGTGGCGTGTAGGGTCTCTTTCTTACTTGGCCGCCTCTCACCTTTGCGAGGGGCCGCCGATGCGAAGGCACCCTGCAGCAAGTGTCTCAGAAATCTGGCGCTGGTTGCATGCGAGGTTTAGTTTGCAGGGCATCGGTTCCGGAATTTAATGACGTTTAAGGGGTTTGGGTTCGGATCTAGGGAAGTTCGGATTGACGGGTTGCAGGGTAGACCAAGGGCAAAGTTGAGGTGAAGGTAGCACGTGAAGATGTACGTCAGCTAATACAGCAAATAGGTGCACCCGCATCGAGAGCGATACAAAGCGAACGCTCCTCTACTCCCCCTTCATCAGCCTCTGAAACAGGATCTCGGGCAGTATTGAATGGAAATGCCACAAAGGAGAGTTATCTTGCAACTTGACCTCACTCCAGCCGAACTCGTCTGAGCTGAGGTGTCCGACCCAGCTGCCTCGACCTGGGGCCAGTAGCCTTGCACATCAAAGCGCAGCTCCCAGTCCTTTCGCAAAAAAAGTTTGGCCTACAGGCTTCTACGCTATCATCCTAGCGTTGTGGTTGCTGCTTTCTATGACTTGCTTTATATTTGCTCTTAGTTAGAGTCTATATGGGTCGTAGCTTATTGGCTCTTCGAGATGATATGACTTGGCTGACTTCTGAACCCCTCCTAAACATGTAAAAGTTAACGTTTAGCAGGAAGCGAAGGAACCGAACCGCGAACCGTGGAACCGGAACCGTCAGAACCGGAACCTGCGGACCGAATAGTAAAACCGGAACCGTCGAACCGAACCGAAATAGAAACCGAACCGTAAAAGGTTCCTATTTTTAATCAGGGTTGGGCTGAAGGGATTTGAGCCCAGGACCAAACATTCCTAGGCTCTGAAGGGTATGCATTTCGAGAGTGGCCTCATGAAGAAGGGGAAGGTTCCCTTCCTTGTTTTGCGTCCCATTTTCTCGAGCCGCCCCACCCCCGACCCTTTTTGGGGTCACTTGAACCTGGAAAAGGACGTAAAGCCGCAACGGCACGCTTTTTTCTTATTTCGTTTAGGTTTTTTTTTTGCCACCCGTTTAGGGTTTAAAGTTTAGGGTTTAGGGTTTATAGGGTTTAGGGTTCGAACCTCCGACCTCCGAAATACGTGCCCTTTTACGGCGTTTTCAGGCCCAAAAAGACCCAAAAAAAGTACGTATTTGGGAGGTCGGCGGGCGGGCGGGGGGGTCCGGTCGGGAACGGCCCGACCTAAGAAATACGTGCCCTTTGCGGCGTTTTCAAGCCCAAAAGGAACAGCCCCACCTCCGAAATACGTGCCCTTTACGGCGTTTTCAGCCCCAAAAAGACCCAAAAAAGGTACGTATTTGGGAGGTCGGCGGGCGGGGGGGGGGGTCTGGTCCGGGAACGGCCCGACCTCGGAAATACATGCCCTTTACGGCGTTTTCAGGCCTAAAAAGACCCAAAAAAGGTCGGCGGGTGGGGGGCGGGTCCGGTCCGGGAACGGCCCGACCTAAAAAACACGTGCCCTTTACGGCGTTTTCAGGGCCCAAAAAGACCCAAAAAAGGTACGTATTTGGAATTAGGCTCCTTATTGTAGTTTCTACCAAAAACCCAAGAGGTTAAAGTCCCAAGAGCCAGCCAGAAGAAAGCAAAGATGAAGCCAGAGCATTGCGGCGCGACTCGGAATGTTGCATTGCTATCAACATCTCGTGGTTCTTTCCTATAGCTGTAGTCCAGCTGTCGCATGGTTGGAAGCCTGCATTCTAGGATACGCAGGGCGGCGGAGCATTGACATTATAGGAGTGGGCCCGTGGTGGAGACGTGGCACGCAGCACTGCAGCATGTACTCATGACTCATGACCACACATGCTCTAGTCATCCAATTGCTCATTACAATTGTCTCCCGACTTGTCGTGGCTCCTGTTGCTACGCTGCTGCAGCATCAAAGGTGGAATGAAACGCAACAGGCTGCGCTCTAGGATGTCACGATACCTGGAAATCCTTTGCATGGCACCCTTCTGATCAAAGCATTTCTTCTGACACATACTCCAATGCACACCATGTCACGACTAAGCACGATGCACAGTCTGCGGGTTTTAGGTCTAGGAGCGCGGGCTGCCAGTCATCAAAGTCCGAGCCCAAAAAAAGTAGCCTTGAAATCCACCAATCCAAGACAGTTAGCCCTTTTTTTGGCACTTCAAAAAGGGCTTCTGATCTGCAAAGGGACTTCTTCAACATAAGAACAAGTGAGGAAGAGTAGATTTGATTTTTCTTGTGGCAGATGTCAGTTGAAATCCTCATTGTTTTCAAGGGGCACATGGTGTAGTAGTATCACATCCGCTTCGCACGCGGTAGCTAACCCGTAGGATCTTCGCTGCCACCTCAACGTTATTGGCTCCCTCAAAGGGCAGGCCCCCACACAGCAAGGCGAAGAGCACCGCACCCACAGACCAGACGTCACAGCATTGTGGAATCTGAGGTGGTGGTGAGGAACCTTTCTCGAATGTATAGGCCTCAAGCCCCGGAAGCTTCCGTGAGCTCTTGTCTTCCCCAGTGCCAGACGACCAACCCCAAAGCCTCTCAGCCCGCTAAATGCCCACGCAAAGCCTCAACCTCACCCCAAACCCTAAACCCTAAACCCTAAACCCTAAACCCTAAACCCTAAACCCTAAACCCCAGGCCCTAAGTCCTGCAGCGCAGCTGCCAGGCTCGGCCCTGGCCCCGGCGGGCTTCCGAGGCGCTGCGCCAGGGCTCTCGGAGAGAGGTTGGCGCCGAAGGCGAAATAGCGGCGCATGGCAAGCTAAGGATTTTGGGGCTTTGGTGGGGGGGAGTGGGGAGGGCTTGAGGGTTCAGGGGGGGTTGAGGGGTTGAGGGTTCAGGTTTCGGGGTTGGGGGGTGCTTCTGGCTTAGGAGTTGATGGTGTAGTTTAGGGTTTAGGAGTTTAGCGCTAAGTTCCAGACTTGGGGGGGTTTAGAGTTTAGGGCCTCAGGATGCTTCTCATGTCAGGCTTTCGGGGCTTTCTTGGTTTCCGGTAGCTCTGGGTTTAAGGGCTCACATGGGTGTCGGGTACTGGGTGTTGAGATTTGCGCCGCCCTGGGCAACGTAAATGCAACGGTGCAGTGCGCGTGCAAACGGGGACCGCTAAGTGATTTCTGCCACTTGCCCCGCTTGCCTCACTTGCTGTGCTCCCTTACCGAAAACCACTTTGCCCCACTTGCCCCACTTGCCCCACTTGCCCTGCCTTAACCGCTAAGTGATTTCTGCCACTTGCCCCGCTTGCCCCACTTGCCCCACTTGCCCCACTCGCCCCCCTCCTACCCCAGCCCACCCTGCAAGTGGGGCGTGGGGCAAGCGGGGCAAGTGCGGCAAGTGGGGCAAGTGGGGCAAGTGGGGCAAGTGGGGCAAGTGGGGCACACCCCCCACCCGCCCCCCCCCCCCCCCCCCCCCCCCCCCCCCCCCCGCCCCCCCCCCACCGCCCCCCCCCCATGGCCTGACAAGTCTGCCTCAAATCTTGTTGCCCCTTTCATGTTGCGTTTCCCTTCCTTCCCCCCTCCCCCTCCCCGCCCTTCCCCTTAAAATCCCCCCCTGTGTTGCCTGACAAGTCTGCCTCAAATCCGGCTGCGTTTGAGGCAGACTTGTCGTGCCGGTTTCCTACTCTTGATCGTGTTCCCCCCACCTCCCCCCCCCAAACTCCCCCCCCGCCTCCCCCACCCTTCCTGATCCTCCTCCCCTCCCCGTCCTTCATCTCAAAATGGCCCCCTTCTGTGGCCTGACAAGTCTGCCTCAAATCGGGCTGTGTTTGAGGCAGACTTGGCCTCTTTCGTGTTGTCACCCCTTCCCCCCCCCCCACCTTCCCCTCAAAATAGTCTTTCTTGTCTGTGTTCCCCCCCCCCCCTCCCTTCTCTCCCCTTCCCCTCGTCTCCTCTTCCCCACCCTCACAATGGTCCCCTTCTCTGACCTGATAAGTCTGCATGAAATCGGGCTCCTCCCACTTAACATCCAAGGGCTCACTTGGTCCCCAAGGAAACCTTGGTGGAAGTCTGGATATTCCAACCCTAAATCCTAAACCCTAAACCCTTCCAGGGGACAAGGAAGTCTTGGTGCTTCTGAGCAGCACCAATGTGGCGAACCTTCCCGGTCCGCTGAGCATCGAAGAGACCCCGGCACAGCTCCAAGTATTGGCTGCATTTGAGGCAGACTTGTTGGCTAGGGTCTGCCCCCAACAAGCCCCACCCATAAGTCTGCCTCAATTTCAGCTCGATTTGAGCCACAGGTCTGCCTTGAATGCAGCCCGATTTGAGGCAGACTTGTGGCTATAGGTTGGTCATTTTAGGGTCATTTTAGGGTCCAATAGCACTCAAGGTTCTACTTGGCTAGGGCCTGCCCTCCAACCATAAGTCTGCCTCAAACGCAGCCGGATTTGAGGCAGACTTGTGGCGCGGCGAGGCCAAGGGGTGGGGGGAGGGGGGGGGGGCGCTTGCCCCACTTGCCTCACTTGCCCCACTTGCCCTACTTGCCCCAGATCATTTTAGGGTCTGTCCGAGTCCAATAGCACTTGAGGTTTTTTACATGGCAAGGGTATGCCCTCAACGAGTCCCAGCCACAAGTCTGCCTCAATTGCAGCGAGATTTGAGGCAGACTTGTGGCTGGTTGGTTACTTTAGGGTCTGTCCGAGTCCAATAGCACTCGAGGTTCTACTTGGCTAGGGTCTGCCCCCAACCAGCCCCAGCCACAGGTCTGCCTTGAATGCAGCCCGATTTGAGGCAGACGTGTGGCTAGGTTGGTCATTTTAGGGTCATTTTAGGGTCCAACAGCACTCAAGGTTCTACTTGGCTAGGGCCTGCCCTACAACCATAAGTCTGCCTCAAACGCAGCCTGATTTGAGGCAGACTTGTGGCGCGGCGAGGCGAGGGGGGGGGGGGGCGCTTGCCCCACTTGCCCCACTTGCCCCACTTGCCCCACTTGCCCACTTGCCCCAGTTATTACTCCTGAGGCAAGTGGGGCAAGTGGGGCAAGTGGGGCAAGTGGGGCAACATCAATTAGCTTTTCCGGGCCACCAAGTGGGGCAAGTGGGGCAAGTGGGGCAACATCAATTAGCTCTTCTGGAAAGGCAAGTGGGGCAAGTGGGGGTCTGCCTTGAATGCAGCCCGATTTGAGGCAGACTTGTGGCTATAGGTTGGTCATTTTAGGGTCATTTTAGGGTCCAATAGCACTCAAGGTTCTACTTGGCTAGGGCCTGCCCTCCAACCATAAGTCTGCCTCAAACGCAGCCGGATTTGAGGCAGACTTGTGGCGCGGCGAGGCCAAGGGGTGGGGGGAGGGGGGGGGGGCGCTTGCCCCACTTGCCTCACTTGCCCCACTTGCCCTACTTGCCCCAGATCATTTTAGGGTCTGTCCGAGTCCAATAGCACTTGAGGTTTTTTACATGGCAAGGGTATGCCCTCAACGAGTCCCAGCCACAAGTCTGCCTCAATTGCAGCGAGATTTGAGGCAGACTTGTGGCTGGTTGGTTACTTTAGGGTCTGTCCGAGTCCAATAGCACTCGAGGTTCTACTTGGCTAGGGTCTGCCCCCAACCAGCCCCAGCCACAGGTCTGCCTTGAATGCAGCCCGATTTGAGGCAGACGTGTGGCTAGGTTGGTCATTTTAGGGTCATTTTAGGGTCCAACAGCACTCAAGGTTCTACTTGGCTAGGGCCTGCCCTACAACCATAAGTGGACCATAAGTCTGCCTCAAACGCAGCCTGATTTGAGGCAGACTTGCGGCGAGGCGAGGGGGGGTGGGGGGGGGCGCTTGCCTCACTTGCCCCACTTGCCCCACTTGCCCCACTTGCCCCACTTGCCCCACTTGCCCCACTTGCCCCACTTGCCCCACTTGCCCCAGTTACCCAGGCAGCAGGGATTACTCCTGAGGCAAGTGGGGCAAGTGGGGCAAGTGGGGCAAGTGGGGCAACATCAATTAGCTTTTCCGGGCCACCAAGTGGGGCAAGTGGGGCAAGTGGGGCAACATCAATTAGCTCTTCTGGAAAGGCAAGTGGGGCAAGTGGGGCAAGTGGGGCAACATCAATTAGCGGACCCCCTAGGCGCTCGCAATGCAACGGTGGCGCAATGTGGCGCACACACGAATGAGAGCAGAGCTGCATGAACTGTATGTGGGACTCTTTGTCGATGGAAGGCTGTATGCTCAGTGAAATGGCCGACTGTAACTGGAGCTTGAGCTTGTTTGCTTGTTTTCCTCTGTTTTTTTTGTTGGGGGGGGGGGGAGGGGGGCAGGGGTGGAATCGCTACGAGAACTCAGCATTGCCGATCTCGGAACGGCCTTTTCCTGACAGGGGCGCATCTGCGGAAAAGGTTTGAGAAGCTTCTAGCAATTTACTAGCAAGATGCAGGACGTAAAGCAGCGCTGAAGCCATGAGCTTGGATATGTCTCTGCACACCAGCTCAGACTTTCAGCTCTAGGCAGCTCATGTGAAAGCTCGGCCCAGGAACTGTGGAGGCATCATGCTCAACAGACCTTGGCGTCGAGAACGTACATCCTAGTTGTGTGCTGATGGCTACCGAGGCTCACTTTCGCTTTTGAGAAGTCTGTACAATGCCTCACCAAGGAACACATCAACCAGGGACACAGCCATGGTAAATAGCAGCCTTTGCACTGAAAAGCTGCTCTGGGCATGAGTGTGGCGCTAAGCTCACACTACGAAGCTCACCATTGCTCGGCTGGCCCTGCGCTCCTGCTGCTCCAGGAAAGCCTTGTGCGCAGCATGCGCGCAGGACTCTTCATCCACCGGGAAAGTCCGCAAGGGTAGGCCTACCTTGGGCTGTCTGCCGAGCAGCACCGGAAAGGTCGGCTCCAGCGCAACGCGCGGAGTTGGCACGCAGCGATCTTCCTGTCGCGCCTGACGCGCCAACACCGCTGCTCGCGTGGCCATGGCCAACGCCGTGGCATCCTCCTCACTGGCGCTGTCCGGCGTGGTTTTGGCTTGAAAGCGTCGATGGGGTTGCAATCCGCCAAGCAATGACGAGTTCCCCAAGAGCGGGCCGAGGCCCTGTGTGTTGCACAAACTGGACACATTGCCAACCCAAGTCGTTCCATTCTCCGAATCAGCAAAGTGGACGGACCGCTGGCGAGCCGCGCCACTCCGCGGAACTCGCTTGACCTCCTCGGCTGGGAAGAAGCTCAACGCAGGGCATGCCGTACTCAGAGGACTCAGAGGCGCCTGAGGTGATTTGGGCGTCTTGGGAGTCTTCGGAGTGCGCACAGCCTTGGGAGATGGTGCATGCGCCACGATGTTCTTGGAGGCCTGGGACAGGAATCGCAAAGAGAGGGCCATGGCACCGAGTCCTACAGTCCTATGGAGCTAAGACGGTCTGGCAACTTCGTTTACCCACCAGGCTTTGAGCTGGATCTGGGGAGGCCATCAGTCTTTCAGATAGCTCACCTGCTGACACAAACTGTGATTCGTTTAGAGGAACATCCGCACAGACAAGTATACTGAGAAAGAGTAGAGCACAGTCACACAATCGTGCGAAGGTTCCTCCAAGCACCGAGCCCATCTGCGCAAGCATCGCGCGTGACCGCGCGTTCCAATCCTGGCACAGGCTCTTCCGCTTCAGAGGGCTCATAAGAGGCCCCAAAAAGGCGGGGGTGAGGAAACTCGAAGTTCCCTCAACATTAGCCCAGCTTTTGCAAAGCAGCCCTGATTGCTCACTTCAGGATTCAAGGATAGTTGCTTCGCCTTCTCTGAGCAGCTTCATGGTTTAGGTTTAAGGTTTAGGGTCTAGGGCCTGCTCTACTG